TTAGTAAGGTCCGCCGGCCTTTGTTTTCTTTCAAGATATCTCATTTCTACACGTATGTTCTGGGGAAGAGGCATTAACCAAGGCTTCTGGGAGAACACTGGAATCCTGGCAGGCAGGAGCCAGGTAAAGGGGGAAACCAGGAAGTCAGGGAATACAAATGAGAGCCTCAGACACCAAGCGGGTTAGTGTCTTTGAGGCCCCCGTGCCAGCAGAGCTTTGTTCTGAGAGTTCATTTGCTCTCTTGACTGCTGGGATGACTAGTGAAATAACTGACCGTCTTTCATTTTCTCCTGTAGGGTTCAGTGTAAAATTTTCTTTTTCTCAGCTAAAGGCCAAAGAACATGCCAACACTCAAAACTAGTTTAAAATTTACATTAAATGGAAACGATTTTATACTGGTTGGTCTGACATGGCAAAGACATGCTTTCATTATTGCCAATGCTTGTTTCCCTAAGTAAAATAGAGGGATTAAATGGAAAATGAAGGAATGTCCTACCCAGCCCCCAGAGGTAAAAAGTAGACTTGTGGGGACAGACTCACGCAGAGCTCTTTCATGAAGAAAGGGGTTGGGAGAGGAAACTGGAAAGAAAAAACTCAGCCTGTCAGTTTAAGGTACAGCACTTGTCTTCAGTTAGCAGCTGAACAACTGTTAGAGGACAGGTGAGCAAGTTTACATGCATCGTCTCAGTCCTGCGAATCTGTGAAGTAGACCCCATCATCATCTGTCTTACAGATCAGAAAGCAGCTAGTGATGCCTACCCTTCAGTCTCAGGCTAGCCTCCCCTCTGCTGCTGGTCCTGACTGACTCATCATGTGGGAAGCAGTGGAGCCTTGGCATAGTTCACCTTGGAAATTACTGCACAAGCAGCCAGCTGCCCTTCTCTCACGGCTCCAGTGTGCTGCTGCTCTGCTCCTCATGCATCCACATGAGTTTACCTTCCCCGTCTCCAACATCTGGACCCAAGTGCCATTACAGACAGACACACTCCAGGTGACAGTTCCCCCTTCTCGCTTTTTCAGTAAGGAGACTGAGAAGGGCTGCCTGATGACAGCACTGGGGATGGAACCCAGGGCCTTGTGCATGCTAGACTGGCACTCCACCCGAGCCATGCCCCCAGCCCAAGATGCTGTTAATCCCTTACACAAAGGTCTGTCCAGAACTGAGAATTCTGCTCAGGCCTTGGCATTTCGGATCATCCCGAGAGTCGCCACCACCACTGCGACTGCTGCTGCTGTGCACAGCTCACGGCCACCACCTCTGGCCAACAGAGAAGGACTACAGCTCTGCTCAGCAAGGGTGTCTGTGTGTGATGGGCCTCAAGGACAGGAATGTGGCATGAGAATGTGTGTGTGAAAACGAGAGTCGGCCAAGAAGAGACTGAACAGGAAAGACCACACAAAGTCCAGAGAGCAGGTGGTCTCAGCGGGTGAGAATTTTGTGTGCATTGTGAAAGGGGCCATTCTCAAGCAATGTGCCCCGACGATGGATGGATGCTGATTTTTGCATGGCACTGCAGATGCCAGGAGATGTGTCTGAGGACAATGCACGAATGTGCCTTCACACAGGAAGTGGAAGGTGTCAAGACAGGGGTGGCGGTGTGACTGGGTGGCTACAGCTACAAGAATAGATGGAGTCAGGCTAAGGGAACTGTGAGGGCACATGCTACAAAACCACTTGTCCAGCCATGCCACCATCAGCTCAGCACTGGGGCTTCAAAATAAATGTATGTCTTCATTTAATCACTCTGATGGCTGGAGCTTAATGGTTAAGAGTAGATTTAGGCAAAACTCACAACTGAGGTAGGCCGTCTTTGAAGTGGAGATAATAATCGCAGCACTGCCTTCACAGAGCTCTGTAAAGCTTAAAATTCTCCCTGAGGAATTCCTTAAAGCCAATTTGCGGACTGTAAAACGCATGTAAATACACCACTCCTCCGGGTCTTCTCCTCCTCCATTCACCACTCCACGTTCTTTGCTAGCTCTCATTCTGTAGGGAGTCTTGGTGCCAATTAATGACCAGGAGTCTCCGGG